CAAATTGTCGCATCTGCAGGCTCCACGACCTTCCACGTAACTCGTCTTGTAAGCTGTTCCTAGATGGTTAGAAATTTTTCTACTACATAACCAGGTGCGTTAACATCCCACCTCAACTTGGGGGCTAGTAAATTTATTTTCACCAGCAATTCCTCATCACATCCCACCATCTTATTACAGATTGAGCTCCATTAAAAGAGGATGCATATTACTCAAGCAACGGCACAAAGAGCGAGAACACTCCATACCACATCGCCAAGGGTAACTATACTTCCATTAGCATTCAACACACGGATGATCTTATTTACTCATACTAACGTGAAAAAATAATTCCACTAGCAGGCATGATCGCATAGTAACTCGCAGCAACTCACGAGTTGATTTTATATCTCGAAGTGCGAGGAAGAAAATACATCCCCATAGCATGGTATGTAGATCGGCAATACGCATCCCCTCAGCTTCAATTACTAAGTCTTCAATACAAATGCTTAGACAAAATTCTTTTTTCTCAATTATATTTGACAGGCATAGAAACGCCAAAGGAATTCATTTTACCATCAACGCAGCAAAACGAACGAGTACAAGCAAGACGTGGAAGAAGAAGAACAAGTGTAGTACAATCACTTAGAACAATTTTTATCAAGTCAATTTTTTTTTCTTTCTCGCTCCACCAGTAGTTATTTACCTTTGCCTCACGTAGGCCCATCGCATTAGTCATTTACTTACATTCGCCTCACATAGGCATGTAACAATTCTCCTATGCTATCGTTGAATAAATAATATTTTTCGCTTTACTATCTACGCCTTTACGTCTATACAAATTACCTCTTACCATGAGTTCAAATCAATACCACCCTACAAACACTTAGAGTGATTTAGATAATCCGTATAGCCTGGCCAGCTGGATTAGCTAAGTCCCTTTAACTGTTTCACGAGGTGCTACTTTTAAAACGTGGCCACGGACAAAAATATTATAGACCCAAGTGGAAAAAAACAAAGGGCACGACCCCTAACAAAAACCTTGGGAGACTGATCCCCTCCTCAAGTACATCGCGTATAATGCTAATGTAAACACATAGAAGCAACGCATTAATTCTTGACAATGTCAAAATAAATAAATCGAAATCTTATACTTCAAAGTCAAACGAGGAAGAAATTCAAATAAAATAGTAGTGGACATACCCAACTACATCAGCGATAAAAACAAACTAAGAAATCCATATCAAAAATAAAAAAAAAGGGGGGGAAAGTTAACTACTCTAGCAAATAAATCTAAACTCCCCTACCGCGAGCGGAAGACGTACCCACAATGGAGTCATCCGCAACCATATCATTCACGAGCTCCGTGCCCGTCCCATTGACATTTACCTCATCTTCCTCTTCATCGGATATGCCAGCTTCCATCCCACGAATCACTTTCTCGCTGATACCACCCGCATCGCGCAGATATTTGCGACAAGCGCGCACTAATGGCTTATAAACCACAGCCAATGCGTGCTCCTCAATCATAGTTGTACACTCGTCACTACCTCGGAAGCTAGCCTTGGTTTCCTCCACGATGGACTCCTTATAAGCCACACCACCTGATGTCGTGAGGAACCTCTTCCCCGTCGCCTTTTCAACTTCATATTTCTCTTTGAGCTGGTCGTAGCATACGTTCAACTTATGAACATCATCCTTATATGCCTTCGCTTCACTTCGAATAACCTCGAGCTCCTCTGTCTTCTCAGCAAGCTCCTCTGTGCGCCGAGCAAGCTCTTCCGAGCGTAGAGCAAGATCAGACCGCGCTACCTCCAACTGGCTTAGAAATTCATCCTCACGCGCTTGACTACGAGCCCTCTCCTCCTCCTCCCTAGCCTCCACATTCTTACCGTGCTCCATGAGATATCTCCAAGTCGCTACCAACTGAAAAAAAAAAAAAAAAAAAAAAAAAATTTTACACAAAGAAGAGGGGAAATGACACTTAATATGATTTTAAATAAACAAGGACTCACCCGACATATGTCTCCACCAGCTAACTCTAGCATATGAGAAGGACCCTTACCAGACATCCGAGCACGATCATACTCCCGAACGAAACCCTCGGTACTCAACATCGGCAAATCATAGTCCGACACATCCCAGTACGACTCCTTACCATCGCGGTTTACGCCATAAGTAAACAGTTGTTTCCCTCCTCCACCATGGAAAGCATAAGTCTCCTCTGGGTCTACCCGTGGACGCTTAGGAAGG